CTCCTCCCGGGGCCTCGCCGGGCCTCAGGTAGGGCCGTCAGGTCAACAGGCGACTCTCGGAGACGACGATAGGGGCGAATAGCGCAGGGGAGAGCAATACATGTGTCCAGGGGTGCCGATTATTTGTGTCTTCGACCAGGCTCCCGGGCGAATGCGTGTAATGCCCGCCCCTGGGCTACTCGCCCTTATCGTCGCCGCCGAGACTCGGGATGGAAGTCCCGCGCCCATCGGGGAAGGGGGGCCAGACCTCCGGGGGCCGACGACGCCAGCCAGAGTTCCTGGTGCCGCGGTGCCGTCTGGGAGGGTCTCGGGGCCGCGGGGAGGGGCCCCCGTGGCCGTCTCGGGGGTGGGGCCCCCGGGGGCCTGTCGTCGACTGGCACTCGGCAGTGCGTCGTGTGCTCGTCGACTGGCACTTGGGGCCGCCGTGTGCTCGTCGTCTTCGGCCGCGCGCTGGGAGGCTGCTTTGGGTGTGGCGCTCTGGGGTGCGGCCCTGCGACCGGTCGAGCTCGTGGCGCTGTGCCGTGCGACCAGTCGGGCTCGTGCGCTTGTTCCGCCGCCTCGCGGTGATTCAGTGGCGTCCAGAGCTCCCCGGGGGCGCGACAGATTTGTATGCATATTCATGCATTGTCGATTTGATTTGCGCCCGAGGGGTTGGGGCGAGTGGCATGGCTACCTAAGAAGGCAGGAGGCTTAATGAAGGCCCTGGTGCCTTCCTAATACTCCTTCTTAGAAGCCCCCAGACCCTTCTAAGAAGTTCCCTGCCTTCTGAGAAGGCCCCCCCCAGCCCCCCTCCCCTGGCGCGTCGCCAAGTCCAAGCAGGGGGGCAAGATCGTGGACACGAAGCAGGTTTTTCATGGAGATGTCACGTTTTTCAGAGACTGAGTTTAGGCTGTCTCCTCGGCTTTCCTCATGGTCCAAATCATTTATTGGCCTGTTTCGTTGTTCAAGATTAGGCTATGCATACGGGGTCCTTTTTTCGTTGTCTGCCAGTGCGATTGGGCCAGATCCGCGCTGCTGCTGGACCGTTGGGCTTCGGTCCCTTGCCATTCAACGCAACATCATGCCGTGACATGCGAATGCCAGTGATACAGCATGCAGCTGTGATGGCAATGCAATGGTACGCAATGCTGCGCTATTCTACGCACCGTCATGCCACGCCACGCTTTCGCAGTGATGTGCAATGCTAGAACGCTGCATGTGCTACGATACTCAGAGGTGTGACATGCGATGCCACGCGATGTGATGTTATGTTATGGCATGCGTTGTTTTGCCCTGCAATGCCGTTCCATGTAAAACATGGTTATGCCAGATGTTTTGTGACATGCTTCCGGCTCCGGTGCCATGTCAGTCAATGGTATGCAATGCTACGGTATGCAAGGGCATCACATGCCATGCTATGCTTGTGCCATTCATCGACATTCAAGGCCATGCGATTTAATGCAATGACATGCCATGTCATGCCATGACATGCTGTTTCATGTTTTGTATTATCAGATATGTTATGCTGTGCCGTGCCGTGCAATGGCGGATCCTTGTGACGACGTTTCTGTTGAGCGGGAATCATGCTTTTCAAGGGTTGAGACTCTTCAGACTGTCAGGCGGGCCAGGGGACAGCTCGGAGATCCTGTCTTCGGGTTTTGGCCCCTGGCCCAAGGTGCCCCCAGGATTCCCAAGGGGGTCCCCACGGCCTCCAGAGCTCTCCTCACGAGGCCCTGGGGGGCCCCAGGGGCTCCAGAATGGAGCGACGAGCTGGGGGCACCCTGAGATCCGATGTCGTGCTTTTTTCGATGCGGGCTCCCCGGGGGTCTCGACCCCTTCCCCAGGACGGGCTTCTCCTCCCCAGTCGTTTTTTGACGGTCCCGAGGCCCAGCGAGGGCCCCTGGGGGCCGAATTCTGCGAGAAAATTTGCGTCTTGATTTTTCCAATGCGTCGGACCTCTGGGCACACTAGGGCCAGGGGCACCTGCAGCAGCACCCGATGGCTCCTGCCTGCCCGATGGCTCCTGCCTGCCGCAGGGCTCGCCTCGCTCAGTTCAGGAGGGAAAAAACACACAGGCACAATTGATGGTCGATTCCCTTAGAAAATATAGGGAAATATGGGAAGTGATGGGGAAGACAAAACCCAGAAAAAATAAGGAAATATAGGGAATCCTGTTATTTGTGTGTGTATATATTTGTGTGTCTCAGGGCCCCTTCATCAGTGCCCGTCCAGACTGCATCGGTCGGGGAAGCGCAAGACTCGCGTGAGCTTAAATCGGGCGCGTCCCTCTGCAGGGGGAATCTTTAATAATGGATGGGGGCATTTTGGATATTTTTTGGGGTGCCTTTGATTTCTCGCCCCAAATCCCCCTGTAGGGGGCCATGTCCGACCTACGAGCCAGCCGGAGCTCGGGTTCCTGCCGGCGTTTTGTGGACGCGCGCAGCCTGGAATCTCTCGGCGGCCCGGCTCCCGTGGGACGCTCTTGCAGCGGGAGGTCGCGTCAGACTTCAGATGGCGCCATGATCGACTGCAGGGAGTAAATATTTGGATTCTCAAAACGGATTTTCAACTTTCTCAGAATCTTCGAAAAATCGACCCAGGTCGTCACATTGTCCGTTCTGGCCGGGTCGGCCAACTAGCTCCACCTCGCGCCCGAATTCCTCTCAGCTCATCTCGTCGAAGAGCTCTACGGTATTCTGGGGCACGCGCCACAGGGTCTCCGGTCTCGCCAATTTCATGATGGCCCCGTCGGGCCAGCCCCGAGTCCCCCGCACCCGAGGCCGACGTCTCCCCGGGTTTGGCGAGGCCCATCCTGGGGACACCCGCCGGGGTCGCTCGGGGCCCTGGGACGGGCGGGCAGAAGTCGCTCAGGCGCGTTTCGGAACGCTTCTCGAGAGCGCTCCGGAGCGGCCGCGGCGCCTGTGTCACCAGCCACCAAACCACCCCAACCCAACCCGAAGGCTTCAATTTGCCCTCCATTTCCAGGGGGGGGGGGCGGATGGTCGGGGAACGTGGTAAACACATGGAACCTGTACCTCCCCAACCCGAAATTCGGGTCAAATTCGGGTCTTCGGGTTGGGTTGGGGTGGTCTGGTAGGTAGTCAGCCTGATACATCCTCCAGGCCCGCCGGTGTTCAGGGGATCCCTGCTTTGTCCCGGTCCGGTGTTGTCCCGGTCCTGGCCTCGTCCCAAATATCTGGCGCTCCAACGCTTCGATGCGTGGACTCCTGGAGGTCTGCACCTCTTTTTTAGGGCTGTTGTTTCTCATTCTGACTCGTTTTTTGACGGTTCTGGAGCCTGCTGAGTGCCCCTGGAGGCCGAAACTAGCTCCAAACTGGCCGCTCCTGTTTTTCGTAGCCTTCGGGCATGTCCCTCTACATGAGGAGTATTAACACATAGTTATAAATTTAGTCAGGGGGCGATTTTCCGCTTATTTTTGAGCTACTGCGAAGGCCTTACGGCCGGTGCCGCCGACCCTGATAACGACGAAGATGAAAACGAGGGGGGGGCCGGGGGATGAGGATGAGCGGGAGGTGGAGGAAGGGTGGAGGAGGTGGATGAGGGAGGAGGAGGGGGGAGAAGGATGTGGAGGTGAAGCTAGAGGAGGAGAAGGAGGCAGAGGAGAGCAGGAGGAGGGGGAGCAGAGGGGGGGGGAGGAGGAGGACGAGGAGGAAGATGAGGAGGCCAGAGGCTTTCTTGGGACAGCCTGGAGCTCTCTTGAGGCCGTCTTGGGCCGTCCAGGGCTCCTCTTGCGTCGTCTCGAGGCACTCTTGGAGGCCTTCTGGGCAATTTGGGGCTCTCCTGTGCTGTCTTGGGGCAATCTTGGCCTGGGGAATGCGTGCTGGGGTGTGTTTCGAATGCTCTCGTGGGCCGCTGTGGGGCAGTGTGGGGCCTCTTCGAGGTTTGAGGGCCTTGGGGCTGGGGGCGTTGTGGCCCGTGAGGGGGCACCCGTGGACCGTTTTAGGGGCGTCTCGGGCCGATCTTGGGGGCCTCTGGGGTTGTCTGGGAGCTTCGGGGAGCGAAAGAAGCGAGAACGCACGAATCTCTGGAAAACGGACGAGGATCGAAGGGTTTTGCTTGTCTGCGCCTGGAGGCGTTTTGCGCCGTTTTGCAGGCCTGTGGTACCGTCCAGAGGCTGCGAAGGCGTCTTGCACAGATCGTTCGGCGATTCAACGTTTTCTTGAACTGTCTTTAAGGTGTCTCCAGGCAATCTTCGCTCGTCCAGAGGCCCTTTTGAGCTCCGGGACCCGTCCCTGAAGGGGAACCACGGCGGCGGCGGCGGTAGCGACGACGACGTTGATGTGGGTTGAGTCCTCAGGGGTGCTTCTTTGGGTCGCTTCCAAGCGCTCTCGAAGGCCACTGGGGGGCAGTTTAGGGGCTCCTTGGGAGCCTCTTGGGGCCTCTTGGGGCTTCTTCGGGGCCTCGTGGTGCTGAGGGCTCGAAATGTCTGTTCGGGTCCCCCGTCTGGGCACTCTCCTGGAGCCGTCTTGGGGGCCTCTTGGGCCGTCTTGGAGGCGTCTTGGGTCGTCTTGGGGCCCTCTTCGGCCGTTGTGGGACCCTCTTGGGGGCCTCTTGGGCCTTCTCGGGGCGATCTTGGGGGCTTCTCGGGCCGTCTTGGCGCGTCGGCAAGCGGAAGAGGCAATAACGCCAATCTTCCAAAAACGTAAATGAAATCCACGAAGTTTGCCTCTTGGGGCTCTCGTGGGAAAGTTCCTGGAGGCCTCTCGGGGCGCTTTGCAGGCCTCTTGCGCCGTCTTGAGGCCGCCAAGGCGTCTTGGACAGATCGTTCGGCGATTCGGGGTTCTCTTGGACTGTTTTTTGGGGCCTCTTGGGGCACTCTGGGCTCGCCTTGGGGCTTTTTTGGGCTCCAGGACTCCCCGGGGGGGCGTCGTATCTGACCCCCCCTCCCGGGACCCCCCCCCCGCCCGGGACCTCTTTTCGGGACCCGCCCCCGGGCCCTGGGACCCCCCCCTGGGACCCCCCCAGGGACCCCTTCCCCCCCCCTCCTGGCGGGGGAGGGATCGAAGGGAAGGGACTTCCCTTCGACTCAATTACGACGTTGCTCAACTTCGCTTTGGCTGGCGCGCTGAGGAGGTCCCTGGGAAAGGGGGGAGCTTCGACGGGGAAAGGGGACGACAGAGACGACGACCCACGAATGACGGAGATGACGACTTGAACGGACAAGCCCCTCACACGCGGCGACAGGGTCGGCGGATTTGTTTGACTATTTTTAACATTTTCCTTCCGAAATTCGCCTGTAGGAGGACATGCCCGGCCCAATCGAAGCCACGGATCTCTGGGGTCTTCACCGGAGGATTCCCCTCGCTCCCGCGCCCGCTGGCCTCGATCCCTGCGCCGCCGGCTCCCTCGTCCTCGGCCGCCCCGAAGTCAGTGCTCTGCTACATCCCGGTGAGGTCGTACATTTGCACGGGTCAGGAGGGGAGAAAACACGCAGACACAACTCATCGTCGACTCCCAGGACAATCTGGGAACATATCGGAAGTGGGGTGGAAGACGGACACCCCCCGAATCTGCGACAATATGGGGAACCCTGGGATCCGTGTCTCTTGATGTGTGTGTCCCTGGGCCCCTGCAGACTCGCCCGAGCCTGCAGAAGACCAGCCTCCGGCTCCCACGGCCCCAGACCCCCAACGTCAGGATTTCTTCACAACGTCGACCCCCAAGGTCTCGACCCCTCTCCCGGGACCCGTTCTTCATCACGAGTCGTCTTTTGACAGCCCCGAGGACCCGGAGGGGCCCCCAGAAGCCGAAACGGGCGAGCAGCCTCCCGTCGTGTTTTTTTCGTGATTCGACGGGAGAGCATGCGACGCATGGAATGAAGTCAACGATAAGATGAACGATGAGGCTATGAGGCCCCTTTCGATGTTGAGCCCGCCACGAGGCCCACTCGTGCCCACCCCGTCCAGCGGAGTGACGTCCCTCGCGGGCCTACAGTGGAGACCCTGGAGCCTGCTTGCCTCCAGGGTGCCCTGGTTTCTTGGGTTTCGATGGTTTTGCTATGGAAGGCGTCGCGTTCCCACACCAAAACTGCATGGACGTCCTGGGGTCTCAGGGTTGGGCTTCTTGGAGAGAATGTTTCCTGTGGATTGGCCTCCACTGCAATTTAGACCTCGCCATCCCTGAGGGGACTGCGTTCGAGTGGCTGCTGGGGGACTCTCTCGGCCTTAGCCGCCCCGCTGGCCCGGAGGACCTGCGCGCGACCGCCCTGGCCGCCGCCCAGAAGGTGCGCCAGCTGCAGGACCTCTCCGCGCCCCCTCCCCGGACGGGCCGCGGCGACCAGGAGGCTTGGCTGAAGGTGCTGGCGGCCCAGCCCCCCCCCCTAGAGGGGAAGGAGGTGGAGGAGGAGGAGGAGGAGGAGGAGGAGGAGGAG